GAATTACTTTCTCAATTCAAAATTTACGCTTTTGCTTGCATATGTATGATTTCCAAAAGTTTATGAAATAAATGACACAACAAAAATGACACGTTTTGTTTTATTTTTAAAATACTTAGTTAAATGTGATAGCTGAGAACAAAAATATACACAACGTCAATGAACCTCATGTACACAAACCCCCTCACGACTGAAATTATAATATTGTGGCAAAGAATAACCCAAATTTTTCTTTCGGTGCATTAAACTCTCCTATGAAATAAGCCCTTTTGTAAAAGGAAAAAAGAGGTTTATGACTTAGGTGAAATTAAAATCGACATCTCTCATGTCTGGATGTGAATATCGAGAGTGGATTAATAATAATAATTATAATAATAATGATGGTCATAATGATGATGATAACCTTTCTTTAGGCGCAATTCCAGATATATTTGATAGAATAGTCTTTGTAAAGTAAAATCAAAGTTAAAAAAGAGCGAATTTTCATTAACATTTTTATTTCTTTACACAAAGGTCATAAATTCATAGTTTCATAAATTACAATAAAGAGTCGAAAACCTAGGGTCAATAAAAGTTGTAAAATTCTCTCTACTTGCTTACATGATTACTAAACCTATGTACGTGGGCTGTAAACATAGACCTTTAATAAGAATTTGAAATATCGAAAGGAGAAGAGAGAGGCAGTATTACGTGTTTGCCCCCCCCCCTCCCCAGATACATTAACTACAGAGATACTTTAGAGTTAATTGGAAATTATGTACATTCAAACTTTTTTTAATTTATAAGCTATGTATTAAAAAAAATAATTTAAGAGGTCATTGTTGATGATCAAAAATGCATTGAAGTGGTAGTGAAAATAACAATATGCAAGGAACGCTGACCAAAATGTTGTGTGACTCCTGAATTCCGTAATGTGTCTTGAATTTCACGTCGTTTGACTACCCCAACTTAGCTTAGTGCAGTGCATATACATTTTGGTGATTAAGCCTAGAAACTTCTTGTTATAAAGGATCAAAATAGACAAACTTCCCCTTATTTATAAAAATAAAGATTAAAAAAATAGTAAATTCTAGTATTTCTATGAATTCTTAGTCGGGTCACCAAGATCCAATGCAACTGACATTTTATACATTTGATAACTTATTGCGAGTGCAGTGACTAAACTCAAATATTTGAGAGAACTATTATAATTAGGTATTTACCATATACCTTCTTTCGTGGTGATTACTAATATTTTGAATTATCTGAATTGGTCTGCTGTCTTATCAAATTTGATTGCGATATATGTGCCTGGGTCACACCCATGATTGTGTGTATGGATAGAAGTGGTCTACGTAGAATGCACATTAACCATGAGTGCTTTTAAAATATTAATGATAGTAAAATATTGATCGCCGGAAGGAAGGTGGATTCTAAAAAAAAGGACATTGTTTAATGCTTGAATTAAAAATGTGATTTTGTAAGATTATACAAATGATTAACAATTGTTGAAACGGGAGGTTGCCACGTGACCTCTCCCAGGGGATTCCCTTGGTAATGTCATTATTCATCATCTCCAACAAGATCAAATCTGGGACAGAAAAGAGAGTGGAAGCTGGCTGTATTTGTACTATTTTGTTTGGTATGTCACCAAACGTACATTTTACACGTGATCACTGACCCTTCAGCACTGTCAATTTATCTCAACTAAAGGTCAAAACTCAAATGAAGTTGCACAGAGAAAAAAGCAAGTTCCGAAAATACAAAATAATTTAAAAACAGAAATGGATTAATGAAATTGCAAAAAAATTCAAATAATAATAAAACAATATTGCATCTTTGGGAGAAATACTCTTACGGTTTTACAGTTTGAATTCATGGTTAAAATTGCTTTTTGTTATAGAGATAGCTAAAATCTGACACAGCAGTATAAGTGGAAATTACAGTCATCTCTTAAACAGATGTTTTGCTTTTTCATGTGAGCAATGTATTTGATGGACATGTGCACATACGAATGATGCAGACAGGAAAAAAACAAAAAAACGTCACTGATCGCTTAGATCGATCACTCCTAATAAGTAAAAATAACAATGTTGTGAATACACTTTAGGCCATTATACGAATTCGTTGGATAATTCATAATGAACTCTTCACACCGCGAGTTAGAATTAGAAAAGCAGCTTGACGGTTTAAGACATTTATAAACAAGCCGCGTTGCCTTTACGTAAGATTAGATGTTGATACGAAGATTTACTGGTTTGCACACTTGTACACCCTTGGGCCAGATACGTCAGTAGCATTATTAAATACTGTGTTGCGCCGTAAAAACATTGAGCGTGCAATCACAACACAAACATTACGTCCTGTATGTGACACATTGCCAGGGGATATAGACCATGCTCTTTCTTTCCAGTCGATATTGTTCCAGGTTTTATTTTTCTCTTTCGTGAAATTTGACATCAATTTTGTTTCTGTGAATCATTGCTACTTCTTAAATTTCAATATCTGAACCTTGCCCGATGTAGAGTACACATGTAGTTTTTGACACAATATAACCCTTATATTTATAATATATTAAATAAAATTTCCAATGATCATTTATTACTTTGTTGCCCTTTGAGATAATTGATGAAAGAGATCCAGAGTAATCAGTAAATAAAAAGGAAAGGGAGGAATAACACCCATTCCTACGTTTACGTCTTCACAGAAGATAGGTCACATGTTGTAAGTATAAACAACATCCACCAGACAAAGTACAAATCCTGATCTGGCCCACAGTTAACCTGACAGACAGTTAAGACGTGGCCAGATTTCTGAACAATTGGTAAGACTATATAGAGTCTTGCATAAGTTAAATACTTCACACCCACCAAGAGACAGCTACAATGATGTTACGTGTGTTTCTATATTTGAGTTCTGTTGGATTTGTCTTTACGTCTTTTGGTTTCAGTCCACTCCACTGCTATGACTGCAACTTTAAAACTTTCGGATATGGTAGGTGATCGTATTATTCTTTTATTATCTTAATGAATAAACATATAACATATAAATGAGCAAAAAGGTACTTTAGCTTGGTAGTTGGATCATTAATGAAAATTATCAAACACAAGCCAAAAAACTTTAGAAGGATTTCTTTAGGGCCAACCTGGGCGTAGTCTTTAATCAGACTGATGTCCAGGCTAGACGTAAGATAACTGTATGTATTTTCTTTCAGCTTCTGTTTTATAATTTCATTTATGAAATTATATACAAGTATATTGTATCAATGGCTCCACTACACATTCACATCGCGTGGTTGTTGTATTTTGGTTATGCTCTGATGTCAGCCCGAGTAATAATGAATTAACTTTCATTCAGGCGGGGAGATGTTTATTATCAGTTTTAACGTTTCTGAAGTCCTTTATTTATTTCCAACGATTTTAATAATAGGAGGGAACCTTTTTCAAGCGACCAATGTATTTAATGGGCATGTGCACAAACAATTTGTATAGACGGAGGGGGGGGGGGGGGGGTCGCCAGAGATCACCCAGACAGAAACATCCTAATAGGTAAAAATAATAGTATGTTGATAAACTTTAAGCCATAAAAAGAGTCAATTGGGTAATTCGTAATGAAGTCTTCACATCGCGAGTTAGAATTAAGAAAACGACTTGACGGTTCTTAAAAGACTTTCATAAACAACCCACTTTGCATTCACGTTAGATAAGAAAATGGTATAAAGATTTATTGGTTTGCTCACTTGTACACCCTTGGGCCAGATACATCAGTAGCATCATTAATTTATGTGTTGCGCCGTAAAAACATTGAGCTCGCAATCACAACACAAGCATTACGTGCTTTATGTGACACATCCATTGCCAAGGGATATAGACTATGCTCTTTCTTTCAAGTTGATAATGTTCCAGGTCTTATTTTTCTCTTTCGGAAAATGTGAGATCTGTTTCAATTTTGTTTCTGTGAATCATTGCTACTTCTTAAATTTCAATATCTGAACCTGGCCCAATACAGACTATACTGTAAAAAAAAAAAAAAAAACTCATGTAAATACATGTACTTACTGAAACAATAAAATCCTTGTATTGATAATTAAAAATAAATTTTCAAATCAGTTTTCATTACTTTGTTGCTTTTGAGATAAGTAAAGAACAAAATCCAAAGTTATCAATATTTGAAGAAGAAAGGAAGAACTAGTGCCCAATCCCAAGTTTACGTTTATCTTCATGTATGAGGTACTGTATATCGATTCCTCGATTTTAAAGTAATTTTCATTACTTTATTTTTTAAACTTTGGTTAAACATTGGTTAAATAAGAAATAATTGAAATTCTGTCAAAGGCATTTACTAAAATACTGTAGCTTTGTCTCCCTTTTATACGAATCTGGCTTCCTGCACTTATGGCAAGTAACGGGCACGGTGTCTTAACTCGGCCCTCAAATAAAGCTGGATCACCACGGTCTTCAGGCCTTCCCAACTACCAGACTCGGCACCTAAGGATCCTGAATTAACCGGTATATCGGACCACGCTACCCGTTTTCAAGGTGTGTGTCAGATCGCATTTCGGAGTATCATACCCCAGAACAAATTTTGTAGCACGACTGCGGGCTCATCCACGCTCGGCTGAACAACCTTAAACTGTACTCTTACTTTAGAGTACTCTATTTTATTGTCTCTATGGGGATATATGGGGACTTTATGACATTTGGTTTGAATGTTTTAACCACTTTTGATAGGGCTTTTTTGCATTGTATTTGATTAATGTGGCAGTCTAAGGTTTATCTAGGTGGCTTTCAAACTTATGCACCCGGTTTTAAAATCATATAGCGATTTTACGACAATCGTTTACTATCCAATCAAGTTGACAGCCGAGCATGCCAGGGCTCATCCTGTCGGTGTTCTGGCTGATACTCCGAAATGCGATCTGACACACACCTTGAAAACGGGTAGTGTGGTCCGATATACCGGTTAATTCAGGATCCTTAGGTGCCGAGTCTGGTAGTTGGGTAGGCCTGGGTCTTGGATCGGCTGTCTCGGCTGCATCTATTGGACACTTGGGCATGTGCACATACGATTTATGCCGACAGGAAAAACACACACACAAACACAAACGTCACAGATCGCCTAAACCGACCCCTCCTAATAGGTAAAAGTAACAATGTTATGAATAAACTTTAGGCCATGATACGAATTCGCTGGATAATTCATAATGAACTCTTTAAGGCATTTATAAACAGTCCGCGTTGCATTCACGTAAGATTAGATGTTGATATGAAGATTTATTGGTTTGCACACTTGTACACCCTTGGGCCAGATACGTCAGTAGCATCATTAAATAATGTCGTTGATTTAATTGTTGCGCCATAAAAAACATTGTGCATGCAATCACAACACAAACATTACGTGCTTGATGTGACAAATTGCCACATTGACTATGGTCTCCCTCCCCAATCGATAATGTTCAAGTTTTTATTTTTATTTTTTCGGGAAAATTGAGCTTTTTTCAATTTTGTTTCTGTGAATTTTGCTTCTTCTTAAATTTTACTAACTGAACCTGGTCCGATACAGAGTACATTGTAAAAAAAAAACCTGCAAATACAGTTATTGAAACAACATAATCCTTATATTTATACTTAAAAAAATAAATCAGTTTTTATTACCTTGTTGCTTCTGAGATAAGTGATGAACAAAATCCAGAGTAATCAGTATTTTAAAAAGAAAGTAAGAAATAGCGCCCATTCCTTAGTTTACATCTGTCTATGGGGTATATCGATTTCTCACGTTTAAAGTAAATAAGACATTGGTTATCAGTATCGTAAAAGTCTTGTAAACCTCAGAGATTTATATCTATAAACTAATATCCTCCAATTTATTTATCATAAAATGTATAATGAGCCTTGATCTTATGTAATAGGCGTCTTCACAGAAGAGAGGTCAACATGTTGTAAGTATAAACAACATCCACCAGACAAAGTACAAATCTTGATCTGGCCCACAGTTAACCTGGCAGACAGTTAAGACGTGGCCAGATTTCTGAACAATTGGTAAGACTATAAAGAGTCTTGCATAAGTTAAATACTTTAACACCCACTTAAGAGACAGCTGCAATGATGTTACGTGTGTTTCTATATTTGAGTTCTGTTGGATTTGTCTCTTCGTCTTTTGGTCACAGTCCACTGCACTGCTATGACTGCAACTTTAAAACTTTCGGATACGGTACGTGATCGAATTATTCTTTTATAATCTTGATGAATAAGCATATAACATATAAATGAGCAAAAAGGTACTTTAGCTTGGTAGTTGGATCATTAATGAAAATTATCAAACACAAGCCGAAAAACTTTCAAACGGTTTGCTTACGGCCAACCTGAACGTACATGTAGGCCTTCATCAGGCATGATTTTTTCGGCTTCTGTTTGACAATTTCATTTATGAAATAATATCTCATTCCTTCCGGTGGTTTATTTTTTCCTTTTTTCCTTAATTCCGTTGCATGAACACAGCATACATTGTATTTGGTTTCCGCCTATAGTCGGTGTGTATTTATTCATCAATAATCATTTGGTGTTGGTAAATCTTTATCAGTAAATGATATATACACGCCATCTAATATAAGTATTACATTATTACTCAAATGCTAAGGATATTCTCACCCTTTCGTTGAAAGGTAATGAAATCAAGGCCACTCACCAAGCCTGCGTTGATCCAGAAAAAGATGGCCACCTCCTGACAAAAGTACCTTGTGACACTGCGTGTTTTAACAGACTTGACGAGAACGGCTGTAAGTATAGGGATCTCTGCACCAATCATTAAGATGAAATAACGAAACCTTAACAGTCTGTCTAAACCAATATTATGAAAAGGTGAAAGCAAGCCCTACTCGTATATGTTTCGTCTTCGTGCATGTGTAAAAGAAAAGATGCCTATCATATGAAGCTTTAAATATGTCATCCAATATTTCAGTCGTCTACAGAGGCTGTTACGCCGGGAACTTCGGCGTGGACTCCAGCCAAGACGGTTGCAGTTTTCAAGCTGGGGCCACGTGGTGTTTTTGCCGTGTTTATCTCTGCAACACAGGAATGAATTTCACACTGTTGCCGTGACTGTGCCGTAACCGTGGATATAAAACAGATACAATTTGTTTTGAGATTTTAAAGATTGTGTATTTGAATACATTCCGTAAACTTGTAAACCTGAAAACTGGTGAAAATTGATGAAAACTGGTGAAAACTTTGATAACCTAGAAAACTGATGGAAAAGTAAAACAATATGGGCCAGGGAGACCGTCACACTGAACTAAATAAATGCACCGTAACAGGGCGGAAGTTCAAATATACATTGATAGGGCAAGTCATTTGACACATATCTACACATCTCCTTGGACAATTTACTCTGACCTAGCAGTTGCACGTGTACACACCCAGCCTGTTACCCAAATAAATACAAGTACAAATATGTATATGTACACGTGAGTTACTGTAGTACATACTGTGTATTCCAAGGGTTATCAAAGTTCTTGGTTGCAAAATGGATTATCTAAATATTAACACTGATTGCATAAAAAAAATTAAAGCCATGAACTAGACGTAGGCCAACTGGAAAAATGTTTATTACCAACACGAATATATACAATATACATAATATACAGTATGTGAGATGATATTGTATGTTACCTGTTAACGACAAGAACATTTTGAGCAAATTTTGATGTAAATAAAATCAAATGTGAGTTACCCAGTTTGATAGTTCCAAATTTCGTAGTAGGCCTATAATGCATCAACACAGACGGTAAATTTCAGTTTTCTATAAATTCTTAGTTGGGTCACCGTGTTCCAGGGCAACTTACATTTCATACCTTATAAATTAAGTCAAAAATATTTGAGCTAACCATTAAAAAGATGTTGATCATACCTCTTGTTGTGGCCATTACTTTTATTTTCAAAGATGTCAAAGATCGGGATTGATACAATGTATGCTGGGTTTTAAAACCAGATTGCGATAGATGTGCCTGGGTCACAACCGTGATTGTGTGAAAGGATCCATACTCTCGGACTGGCGAGGAAATCTTTGCAACATAATAAGCGAGTGATTAAAACTGAATGTCGGGAGGCTTTTGATTACAGATTAATTCTAAATTTTGTAAGATTATACAAAAATGAATAAATAAATCACACTTTAATAGGAAGGATGCCACGTGACCACGTCAACACATGAGGGGATTCCCCTTGGAAATGCCATTCGTCTAAGAAGCCATTCGTCTAAGGACAGGAGATCGATATTCCATCTGCCAAATATTTCAAATATTTTACTCCGGAATATCGCTCTGACGTACATATCACACCTGTATACTGACTTCAAGCATTAGTTAAGATATGGAAATTAAATGTTATTTTACTTTACTACAGGTAAACAACAGTAGATAACTTTTGCAATTATCGAATATGTTGTTTAAGCCTGTGACCCAGTTTACTCGAGGTCGTGGTACTCCTGTACTGAACTATTATCAGAAAGATAAATATTGGTAGACAGAGCGGGGCATTGAAATATGTATGTACTGTAGTTGTACAATATAGGTTGTAAGAGACTTCAGTTTGTGTGTTTCGTACACAAATACTGGGCTTTTGCTTTAGAACTGCTCGCATTAGGGATACGAAACATCTGGAATTCCCAGCGTCACTAGAAAAAATATGATCTCTTCGATAAAATATTGGGAAGTACTGTACATAGTGACTTATTTCAATACTATGGTCAAGTTCTTCGTCTCCAGATGATACGAATTTTTGTTTTATTTTGTTTAATACAAACCAGTAGCACATAATTAAACAGTTTCTATTTGGAAACATTGTATCTATTTATACGTGTTGCCAAGTAAACACAAGCAGGACTTCCCCTTCATCCCCGATGTCTAGCTAGTAGTACTTACTACTAGGTGTTTCAGTAGCAAGGTTAGCTAGGACTTCACACGTACAGCTGTAGATAGATTGTGAGTGTTAATGTAAAGGCCTATTTTCCATATTTATTCTATTCTATTTATTGATTGATGTTTAGCCGGTATGAAAGGTGAAGAAATCTTCCCTCATGCAATTGTCTTGTAGTGGTATTAAAAATATGAATTACCTGTTTATCTGTGTTAAATACTTATCATGTAAATATAGTGTCATAATGGTTTTATTTATGCGTAATAATTTTTAAAAATAGTTTTAAAGAAAAGCAATATATACTCCAAGCATGAGTGTGATATTTTCAATCTTATTGATTTAGGTGGTATAAAAATAATTCAAACAAGATACAGACTAATGTATCTATGGAATGAAATTAGTGACCATTGAAGGATACCAAAGAAATTCCGTTCCAGTTTCATGTAGTGATTGTTACTTAATTAGTTCTGAATCAAGAATATAGAAAGAAGAAAGTATGCTAAAATAATGTATCAAAACATAAGGGAGATCGGAGAATAAATAGAAATGATCTGCTCGGATAATACAGTGTGCCACCCTTTAAAGGAAAATGTGACCATAGTGTACGTAACAAAATGTGGCGTGTAAAAGGGAAACTTGATCTGCATTCTAGGAAGATAAAAGCGAGGCCCGCACTTTAGGTTGGACACTTACTTACACACTTGCTCACTTATACTTACGCTTACACTTGGACACTTAGACACCTAGGCACTTAGACTCTATTTGTTAAATTATTGTCTTAGAAGCACCGTTGTCGCGCAAGGAGGACCTGTACTATCTGAGCAGAACTGATCAATAGGAAACGAAGGAGTAGTTCAGAAGGCGTACTCAGCTCTACCTCTCATCCGTGATCCAATTAACCCCGCTAACCCGGATTGAGAAAGATCAGGACTATGTTGTTCTTTTCCTACCTAATATATCCCCGTGTCACGGATCCCGAAGGACGGAAACGCGTCATAAATAAAAGGGAAGAGATAATCCACAATTAAAACCCCCGTGACAATAGAATATGGATAATGACCATTTCAGGTAGACTCTGCATACATTTGTACCTTAATTGAATCCAGAAAGAGCTCACTGTGTAAATCTCCCAACATTTTCATTTGCCAAATGGACAGTCCTACAAGAATGAACCCACTCCACGAGGCTGCAAAGAATGGTGATATCAACAAAGTGCGGAGTCTGTTAGAGACTGGAGCAAGTGACATAAACAAGAAGGATGACGAAGTGGATATTGTAAGTTTACCTATGTTATAAATAACATTCATAAGAGGGTCCTGGGCTCCGTATCTCGAAAGATTCGCTACGTTGCGCACGCGTGCAAGCGTCTCGATTCCATGGTCCCGTATCTCGAAATAGAATCAGTAATGAAATCGAGACGCTTGCGCACGTGCGCAACATAGCGAACCTTTCGAGATACGGAGCCCTGGTCGCTATATCACTTAGCGGTCAGTGAGTGTCAACATGTGCTCACATCATTCTCATGAAGACCAACGTCCATGTTTGCCGTAAGCTTGCGGTATAAAAGTCTTTCAGCTTGTGTTTGATAATTTTCATTTATGATATGGAAGTAGTATGTATTTATAACGTTCCATATGCTGTAGACGCAACGTCACATTTAATTATCAACTGATCGTAAGGAACTCTTTTTTAATCATATTTATTAATTTATGTAACTGATATATCATAATTATGGTCATATGACATTGTCGTTGACCTAAAGAATGCTGCATCTTCAGTTTGGTAGGACAATAACGCTAACTACTTGTACCTCCATGCTGCTATTAAACATAACAGTGTAGATCTACAGACAGTTGCACAACTATTAGATAAATTATATCACAAACTTTCTCATCTTTTTTTAAAATTAAAAATGCCATCATTTCATTTCATTTAAATATCAAGTATACATCATGATTTTTGTCTTTATGGTACATCGTTTAAACGAAAACATCGTGTACCTTCAGTTAAGACCTACACCTCTTCATAACGCTGCTGAGGGTGGTCACAGCGATGTAGTAGCTCTACTCATTCAGCACGGTGCTGATCCCTGCAGTACAGACACGGTAGGTATAGGTATTTGTAAAGCATTTAAAATGCATCGCCGATATGCAATATCTGAAACATCTCAGCTATCAGTGCCATTACCCATTGAATAACAAGTCGACACCCACTGTCATATATTGCAACTTTGCTACTGTCATAGTTGGTGTTATGGAAGCAACGACGCAACTGTAAAAGAGAGGAGAATATATGGCATAATTCTTGGGCTTGTCCTTTAATTTCACTCATTATTTACTTGTACTTTTTACACACTTAAATTGTGAGAATGTGACCTACCATTGGAATGAAAACATCCTGTATTTTTAGTGGAGTCGTACACCTCTTCACTACGCTGCTGAGGGTGGTCACAGAGATGTAGTAACTCTACTCATTCAGCACGGAGCTGATCCCTGCAGTACAGACTGTGTAGGTATATCTATTTTTTAATTCTGAAATATAGTTGTTAATTCTGAATGCATCAAACACTGCATGTTCTGCTAAATACTTTCCATACGACGCTTTCACAAAATAGGTAATAAAATACAAGACTCACTTACGCTAACTGCGTCCATGCCGCTGTTGTACATTGTAGACATGACATTGTAGATCTAGAGACGGTTGCAAAACTGTAAGGGAGATTTTACCACAAACATTCCCAAGCTTTTATTAAAAAGTATTTTACTTAATTTTATTCAATAGCAGTTATACACCATGATTTGCCTTTTTTGATATATCATTAGCATGAAAACACTGTGTATCTTCAGACTTGTATTACGCCTCTTCACTACGCTGCTGAGGGTGGTCACAGCGATGTAGCAGCTCTACTTATTCAGCACGGAGCTGATCCCTGCAGTACAGACAGTGTAGGTATATGTAAATCTTTTGAAACACATCATTTAAATCGTTTTACTTTATCTCCATTGAATAAGCATAGTCGCCTACTTCTGCTTCCTCTTTCCATGATGTTATTATACATGTACATGGTGTTGTGGAGATACGTAGATAATAAATTATATGGCATAGCTAATGCGACGGTTTTGTTATGCAATTAAATTATTTTTTTCATTTATTTTACGAATACATCATTAATGAGAGTATATAGCATAACCTTTGTATGAAAACATTGTGTGACTTCAGTATGGTGGTACGCCTCTTCATAAGGCTGCTTGGGGTAGTTACAGCAATGTAGTAGCTCTACTCATTCCGCACGGAGCTGATCCCTGCAGTACAGACTACATTTTATTTCATTTCATTTCATTTAAATATCAATCATACATCGTGTTTTTGCCTTTATGGTATATGAAAATGAAAACAATTTATATGTCTTTAGTGGGGACGTACACCTCTTCATAACGCTGCTGAGGGTGGTCACAGCGATGTAGTAGATCGACTCATTCAGCACGGAGCTGATCCCTGCAGTAAAAACAGGGTAGGTATATGTAAATCTCATGAAATACATCTTCGATATGCCAATAAATAAACCATTTTTACTTTTTCTCCCTTTAATAACCAAAGATACCCACTGCTGCTTACTGTCTCCATGATGTTGTTGTTGTGGAGATAAATAGTTAATAGATTATATAACACAACTAAGCCAATACATCATTAATTAGAGTATACATGTACAACATAACCTTTGTATGAAATTTTTGTATATCTTCAGGAGGGTAATACACCTCTTCATAAGGCTGCTTGGGGTGGTCACAGGGATGTAGCAGCTCTACTCATTCAGCACGGAGCTGATCCCTGCAGTACAGATGAGGTAGCTATTCATATTTAGGATTACCCATAGGGGAATACTATTGTTTTTCCTGTTATTAGGATTCCCCATAGGGGAATTCTATTGTTTTTCCTGTTCTTATTATTAGGATTCCCCATAGGGGAATACTATTGTTTTTGGTATTCTTATTCTTCTTCTTATTATTATTATTATTTTTCGTCAAAAAAATTCTTTGTAAAATTCTGAAAAAATTCATTCTGATAGCCTATGAAAAGTTATTCCGGTCCACCCAATTTTTTTTTACCTTGACCTAATTTTCAAGGTCACAGAGCCTTTTAAATTTCAAAATGCAATATCTCCTAGAATTTTCAACATTTTGACAAATCCTTTCAGAGGTAAGGTCACACAATAATTCTATATCAAGAGACATAATTTTAGGAAAGTAGGTCAGGTCAAGGTCAACCTATTGCAAAATATGCTCCAGGAGGTTGACACTCGGCAGGGGGTAAACCAGATGTCACAGAGCCACAAGGATGATGTAAAAAGTTGCCCTAGATATCTATCCAGTGCAGTATCTAATAATATTGACAATTGACTGATTTGTTTTTTTAATATAGATTTTTAAATATTAATAATTTCTCAGAAATAGTGACTTAGTCAATTTCTCCATGAAATATTGATTTTTTGTGATAACATGCTATAGTAAACTATCCCAAACATATACCCAACACCCCCAAATCAAAATAACAAATTTGACCTTGACCCTCATTTTCAGGGTCATTCGGCTATTTCATGGAGAAATATTGAAGTGTGCTAAAAGTGATGTTTTGTTGCCCCCCCCCCCCAATTCGCACATGCCCTTTCAGAATATGGGGTCAAATTTAACCCATGACCTTCACATGACCTTGTAAGAGCATCTCTACACCTATTTTGCAGGGGAATCCTCCGACACTGGCTTCAGCCAGTTGAAGTCTAGTTCTTATTAGGATTCCCCATAGAGGAATACTATTGCATTTGGTATTCTTCTTCTTCTTCTTATTATTATTATNCCCCCCCCCCCCCACTTCGCACATGCCCTTTCAGAATATGGGGTCAAATTTAACCCATGACCTTCACATGACCTTGTAAGAGCATTTCCACACCTATTTTGCAGGGGAATCCTCCGACACTGGCTTCAGCCAGTTGAAGTCTAGTTCTTATTAGGATTCCCCATAGAGGAATACTATTGCATTTGGTATTCTTCTTCTTCTTCTTCTTATTATTATTATTTTTCGTCAAAGAATTTCTTTGTAAAATTCTGAAAAAATTCATACTGATAGCCTATGAAAAGTTATTCCGGTCCACCCAATTTTTTTTACCTTGACCTAATTTTCAAGGTCACAGAGCCTTTTAAAGTGAAATTTTTGCAAATTTCAAAATGCAATATCTCCTAGAATTTTCAACATTTTGACAAATCCTTTCAGAGGTAAGGTCACACAATAATTCTATATCAAGAGACATAATTTTAGGAAAAGTAGTTCAGGTCAAGGTCAACTTATTGCAAAATATGCTCCAGGAGGTTGACACTCTCGGCAGGGGGTAAACCAGATGTCACAGAGCCACAAAGATGATGTTAAAAGTTGCCCTGGATATGTATCCAGTGCAGTCGCTAATAATATTGACTATTGTCTAATTTGATTTTTTAATATAGATTTTTAAATATTATTAATTTCACATAAATAGTGACTTTGTCAATTTCTCCATGAAATATTGATTTTTTGTGATAACATGCTATAGTAAACTACCCCAAACATATACCCAACACCCCCAAATCAAATGTCAAATTTGACCTTGACCTTCATTTTCAAGGTCATTCGGCTATTTCATGGAGAAATATTGAAGTGGGCTAAAAGTGATGGTCTGTTGACCCCCCCCCCCCCAATTCGCACATGCTCTTTCAGAATATGGGGTCAAATTTAACCCCTGACCTTCACATGACCTTGTAAGAGCATTTCCACACCTATTTTGCGTGGGAATCCTCCGCCACTGGCTTGAGCCAGTTGCAGTCTAGTTTTATTTGTAATGTATGTTATATATTGCGATGCATGAAACATGGCTCTGCTAAATACATGAATTCATCGCCACGTCCACTTGACACATAACCAAAACGCAACATCCGCTAACGCTGTCTATATGCTACTGTTACAAACATGGCAGGATAGATATAGAGACAGTAGCACATCTAGATTAAGAGAGATTGTGCCACAAACTTTGTCAAACTTTTATTGAAAATGCATTTTATTTTATATCATTTTAACATCAATTATACACCATGACTTAGTCTTTATGGTATATCATTTAAATGAAAATATTGTGTATCTTTAGCAAAAGCGTACACCTCTTCATAACGCTGCTGACCGTGGTCAAAGCGATGTAGCAGCTCTACTCATTCAGCGCGGGGCTGATCCCCGCAGTACAGACGGGGTAGGTATATATCTTTTGAGATGCATCTTTGATATTCCAATGTATAAATCATTTTTTACTTTATTTCCATTGAATAATCAAAGAGGCCCACTGCTGCTTACTGTCTTTATGATATTGTTATATGTGGTGTTGTGGAGATAGGTAATAGATTATATGGCATCGCTAATGGAACAATTTTGGAAAGCAATTGAATGGATTTATTCATTCAGACCTGTACATCATTAATCAGTGTTCAACGTGTATATGAAATATCTTTTGTATGATGTGTATCTTCAGGATGGTGTTACACCTCTTCATAAAGCATAGAGACAGTTGCAAAACTGTTAAAGTGATTATACCACAAACATTTTAACCTTTATTAAAAGTTTATTTTATTTCATTTCATTTGAAAATTGGTTATACATGATAATTTTTTCATTATGCTATAACATTTTTATATATGATAACATTGTGTATCCTCAGGAGGGTCGTACAGCTCTTCATCTCGCTGCTTGGGGCGGACACAGCGATGTAGCAGCTCTACTCATTCAGAAAGGAGCTGATCCCTGCAGTAGAGGCAGGGTAGGTACAGTATATATATATTTTAAATTCTGAAATACATGTAAGATATCTCAATGCACCAAGCATTGTTCTGCTAAATACATTTTCCATAAGTCACTTCAATCACTAACGCTAACTGCACCAATGGCATTGTAGATATAAAGGCAGTTGCACAACTAGATTAAGAGAGGTCGTGCCACAAACGTTTTTATTAAAATGCAGTTTATTTCATTTTAACATCAATTATACATCAGGACTTTTTTAGGGTATGTAGGTTAATGAAAATATTCTATATGTCTTTAGTGGGGACGTACACCTCTTCATGAAGCTGCTGGGAGTGGTAAAAGAGATGTAGCAGCTGTACTCATTCAGCACGGAGCTAATCCCTGCAGTACAGACGAGGTAGGTATATATATATCTTTCGAAATGCAAAGCCAATATTCCATTGCTTAAATCATTTTAAATATTGAATAATCAAAGACGCTCACTGCTGCTTACTGTCTCCATGATGTTGTTATACATTCATATGGTGTTGTGGAGATAGATAATAGATGAAATGGCATGGCTAAAAGGGAACGATTTTGTAATGCAATTTAATCAATTTGTTCATTCTTGTTGCTTATAAATCTTAAATGAGACTATATGACATAACCTTTGTATAAAAACGTTCTTCAGAATGGCCGTACACCTCTTCATGACGCTGCTTTGCATGGTAACAGCGGTGTAGCATTTCTACTCATTCAGCAGGGAGCTGATCTCTGTAGTAGAGACAACTTGGTAGGTATATCTCTGAAAGTACTTCGTCGATATTCCATTGTATTAAATATTTTTGCTTTATCAAGTGAATAATCAAAGACGCCCACTGCTGCTTACTGTCTTCATAATATTGTTATACCGCATGTACATGTATGGAGTTGTGGGGATAGATAATAGTAATGTAATTTTAATTTAAAAATTAATTAATTCATTTATGTCGCTGATACATCATTAATTACGAATACATCATTAATGAGAATATATGACATAACCTTTGTATGGAAACGTTGTGTATCTTCAGTATGGTAGTACACCACTTCACTACGCTGCTCAGGGTGGTCACAGCAATGTAGCAGCTCTACTCATTCAGCACGGAGCTGATCCCCGTATTGAAGACTCGGTAGGTAGGCTACACCTTGGACATAAAAATCTCTTATTATGTTCAAGGCTACACGTACAATGCATATGCACTTGTATGCCACTTTAACTATTTTCAGTTCAGCTTCAACGACACTGTCGAGTTTGCAGTTTCAGTGATTAACAATTTATTAGTTTTTAATGACATGTACATGTATACACACATGCAGATAACATCTGCATGAAAAAATCGACTGACATAATTCAGTTGAGTCGTACACCTTTTTATTGCTCAGCTAGAGGGAGTCACATTGGCAGATCGCATGGCATAAATAATGGAAGCATTTGAATCATTTTTATTATTTATTTATTAACATTAAGAACTATATGTAAACAGAAAAGTCTGTGACATGTACTGTCCTACTACAGTATGACAAATGTAAATATTCTGTATTGTCTCTTTACATATTTTAAATGTCATGTCAACATAAATGTGTTATTGTAGCGTGGCGAACGTCCCAGCGGTACTATACAATGGAGAAACCAGGAGTTAGCAACACGTTTAAAGAAATTCGAGAACGATCAAGTCCAGGTGAGAGATTATATGTCACGTCTTTTATCGACAGACGGATGGTTGATTTTCTTTATTGATTTTTTTTTTTTAATTTCAGCCAGGGGTGTCCAACAGATTTTCCCCGACCGCCCCCCCCCCCCCCCTTGAACCCGCCATTATAAGATGTCGGGTATCTAACCATTTCCACATTATCAAAGTTCTGGGGGTGTCAGATCGAAACCGTCAGGTATAATATATGTACTTGACACGTACCCGTTTGATGACAGTTAAAGTGCACGGTTTTGTTACACGAAATACTACCCCTTTGAAAAAGCTTATTTCATTTATGTTTTCAAAACTCAGTTTTCCTGATTTGCTTTAAAAGGATCTATGGAGTACCGACGAAGCCCATTGTTTGCTGTCATTCGTAATATGCCATGTTATATATTCAGGTCACTTTCTCTCTTCTATATATAAATCATTCTTTATTGAAATATGATAATTATATATATATATATATTGCTTTAAATAGATTTAACATATACTTTATTTTTAACCTTGAGTCGGCAGCTAACAGAAGCACTGCGTTATAATTTAATCTTCCAGAACTTCATCTTCGTCTTGACTTTGGAACATGTTGCTGCTACAATGAATATTGTTGAGGCTAATACTCTTTTTAAAGAAGACATGAGATGCCATTCCCTAAATGAACGTCATAACAAGTTAGAAATGTTGAGGAATTGGGCACAAAGTTATGGGCTAACGACTATCCAAAAGTTAAAGGCGAGATTGGCAGATGCAGGGTGTCAAAACTTGGCCGGTGAGTGATACGTATCAGTATGTCATATGTACATGTATATGTAGTACCATGGCATGTTTATTTATTTACGCAAAGCAAACACAAAACAACACTAGTATATATATATGTTTTTATTCAAGCATTTGTACAGCAGATAAAAAGAACACTATTCAAAGATTATATTTATACAGTGGCTGCTGAAAAGCACTATGCTGGGATCGTCAAAGAGATAATGGACATGTCACCCTACTGCTACGAAACATTTTGTCAAGATCCCATGTCACAACGGCACATGATTACATCGGCTGGTTGTTCCACAGAGCAGAGATGTGAAATTAGGTATATATACACATATATATAAATATGTACACGTGTGTGTGTGTGTGTGTGTGTGTGTGTGTGTGTGTGTGTCGAGGATCAAAACGAATTTAAGCAGATTATAACTCCGCACGTAGTCCCCTTAGAGTACAAAAAAAAAAAAAAAAAGACAGCGTAACTAAATACCCTGGTTTGTGTTCAGGTAAGATGCCCACTTGTTGGAGTTGTCGCGTAATTAAGGTACGAGGAAATGCATGTAGTATTTAAGAAAGCATGTATATGGAAACAGTCTACTTTTCTAGATAATATCTCTTTATTTACGTTGAAATGACCCGTCCACACTAACAGCTTATGCAGTGAGCAGAGCACAACGAATACGGTTTGGTGCGTTTTTTAAAAACCTTTATTTCTAAACTATTCTCAATTCAGTAAAAAGGGACTACACTTAAAAAAGTGATCCTGTTACCAAAAGTGACAAATCATTTTCGAGTGATCAGTGAAATAGGAATTTAGCTGTGATATGAAACAACCAATTCACAAAATTTAGTGAATACTTACAAAACACAAGCATTGTATATAATCCAAAATCACATTTACTTCACTAATTGTTACCTTTTTTTCTTTTGGCTCGTTCCACTATGGAGACAGATTCCTACCAATACGATGCCAACTTAGCTCATCACAGTGACGACGAAGAGGTAGTGGACGAGGTGAGGGGACAGTTCGAGTCCAATAGAGTCTGCTTTTGTGAACCTCCCTTGCCTGGATCAGTTAAGATACAGTCTATGTGCGAATCAGTGGAGATCACCAGGCGTACGGTGTCTATCTTTTTCAAAACGTCTCTGGGGAGTCCATTTAAGGTGGAACCATTTAAGGTGACATCTAACGTAGCATTTGGTGTGGCCGAGAAAGGAAAAGAAGGCGTGATGATTCCTGTCACCACTGACGTCGATCCAAAATCCTTACCGCCTCCATGTGATACTATGCAATGTATCCATTTCCAGAGCCATGATTTCATCCCGAAATTGGCCGACGTCATTAAAGGTATTTCATACACAACATATAGTCACCTTGTGAACATTTGATATTTTGCAACTTAAATCTTTTAAAATTAGATATGCTTTTAATAAGTAATTGTTTATTAGTACGTTTTATTTTTAACTGTTTCTGAAGCGCATCCATAAATAGGTGTGTTATCTAATTAGACTATCCTTAGGTATGGATGCCATTCAAATTTCAGGACCAGCAGATGCGCCTCTCTACGGTCAACTTCGTAATGAAAACGAAAACATGAAACGGGAGATTGCAGCACTGCGACAGCAACTTGAAGATAGTACAGCATTGAACAGACGTCTGCAGGCAGAGGTGATGACTGCAGACGCTCCAAGACAATTTGTCTGTGAACCAAATAAACTTTACCGTTTGGCTCATTCCAGTATGGAAACAGATTCATACCAATGCGATGTCTACTTAGCACACGACAGTGACGACGAGGAGGTAGTGGACGAGGTGAGGGGGAAGTTAGAGTTCAGTGGAGTCCGCTGTTCTGAACCAGCTCTTGCTGGAACATCTATAATAAAATCTGATAATGATCCAGTTAAGACAGCCAAGCGCACGGTGCCATTTTTTTCCAAAAATTCTCTGGAAAGTAAATTGTTTATGATGACGTGTGACGTGGCACTTATTGAGGCCAACGAAAGGAAAGAAGACGTGATGATTCCTGTCACCATTGACGTCGATCCAAAGTCTTTACCGCCTCCATATGGAACTCTTAATTGTATCCCCTACAAGAGCCAAGATTTCATCCAGAAATTGATCGACGCTATTAAAGGTATTTCATACACAAAGTGAACTCACTTTGTGAAATTTTGACATTTTAGAACTTAAAACTATATATTAAGTGGAATTAGAATAACTGTACTATCAATTGGTGTGTTTATTAGTACGTTAATATGTTATATTTCAATTTGGAACTATTACTGAAACGCATTCGCGAATAATACATGTATGTGTTATCTTATTAGACTATCTTTATTTATTCATGCCGTTCATCTTTCAGGACCAACAGATCCGCCTTTCTACGGTCAACTTCGTGATGAAAACGAAAACCTGAAACGGGAACTTGCAGCACTGAGACAGCAACTTGAAGATAGTACATCATTGAACAGACGTGTGCAGGCAGAGTTGGATGCTGCAGCTGCTCTAATGCAATTTGTCTGTGAATCCGAAGGAACGTGAACTATGACTACTGTAAGGTTCGATTTTAGGTTCACAGATCGAGAAGAAGTGAGCAACAAGAGTCGTGGATTTCCAAACAGCTTTATTCCCACTACCTAACTCTCCTCTCTACCCACCACCTGTTCTATTTATATGTACCTTAATGTCTCATTATAATAATACTTTATAATAAATCTTACTAGGCGCGGGCGCCGCGACATCCTATAGTCTAGGCGCGGGCGCCGCGACATCCTAGGGGCGTGGGACATGCTAAGGGGCGCCGCATGATCATTATTGTAATTTTAACTACAGCATATGCCTTCAAAATGAAGGACCACTATCACCCAACCTAATGGACCATTTACTATTCCACTAGTTTGATATTTAAAACTGTGAGTGACAAGTGTAATAAGTAACAAGATTGCCTTTTTCTGGCTGATACTGACTACATATTGACACATTACATTTATTATTGTGTTGCATTTACTCCAGCATTCCGTTTTACAGGAGAGCCAGATTTTAAGTGAAATAATATTCCATATTTCTCTTGTACGGTGTTGAAAATGGTACGTCCAATATTTCTGTTTTAATACGTATAGCATATAGCATATGCCCCTTGGTGTGTTATGTATTTAGCTATTGAAGATGATACACAAATATTTACCTTCAATTATCCATTGAAATAGTTTTGTTATTATTGAGCACTTATTCTCACTATGTAGGTTCATTTAACATTTTTTTATTTTATCTTGTTTGTTGTTTTATATCACCTCCAGCATATCAATTTAAATTCGTTTTGAATGATAAATGAAGATATTTCAGTTAGCATGTTATTTCTCATAAGCTTATGCTGATTATACTTCTGTTAGTTAGAATTGTGTGACATTATTCTGACTGGTGTGAGTTTTGTTTGTAGTGTTGCATTCACTCCAGCATTCCATATTACAGGACCAGAATGTAGAGTGAAATAATATTCCATTTTTTTTGTCTTGAAAATGGAACCGTTTTCAGTGTGACCGACCATGTGAATTAGAATCTTCTGGTCTTATAATGAAATATATGCTGAAAGTTATTTGTGGGAATATAGTTGTAATTAAGTTTCAGGGCCAGATGTTAAGAACATTCTGAGTTGTGCTTTTTAGATGTATTTCTTTTAGGTGTGCTCGACATACTATATATTTGTGAAGTAAGCTTAAACATGTACAAAATACCCTGACGTCACTGTGGAGTCAGAATATATATATTTGTGTGTGTGTGTTGTACTGGTCTTATCAGTTTGTATTTACACTTACAAATGTAACTGTTGAATGTGACGAGAAACGAAATTGTGACTGGATGAAATATTTAAAATGTATCAAAAATAAATATACATTCATTTATGGTAAAAACAATGTTGTACAATGAATTGTGTTAGTCATAGGATAGCGCTATAATATCCAGTATTTATGGCCCTGGCCTTGGGGATTGTAGGACTTCAACAGACCCATTTTAGCACTTCAATTACCCAAGGTTTCATCGGGTCGCAATTTTGTTATCAAGAGCTATGACATATTTTGAGGTGTTACGTCCGATATTTCTATTTACGTATACCATGCTATTCCCTAGTGTGTTGTACATCTAGCTATTCAAGATGAGACATAAAGATTTTTCTTCAGTTGTCCATATATATGTGTTGTTATTATAGCGGCGCTCTTACCGTGATGTTTTGTGTCTTTATATGACCGAAACAGTTTTTTTGTTATTTCCAACAGATATGATTTTCATAATAATTCAAATATAATTTACGTTGGCATTATAATACAGTGTCGCAGATTCATTTAACAAACGTATTAATTATCCGTTTTCAGATTTGGTTAAAATGTATTCTGCTATACTACACATGTCATATATCTACCGGTGTAATAAGTTACGTACGTGTACATGTGATACAACATACAAACTTCATATAGTAGAATGAATGGAAACAATGACTGTCACAATTTGTGACAATATTTCGTTGAAACTGTTGTTACCGTTGACACCTCGATGCATTTCTTTCTTTTAACTTAATAATTAAAAGTGACATAAATATTCGATAAATAATAAAATTACTGAAAATAGAAAACATGAACAATTAGATGCCATTAGATACTCACATTTTATGCTATCTGCAATACTAAATTGAAGTGTCCGGTACGCCTTTCACTTGTCTACTGCCCCCTCTCCCTTTAGATCGCCACACTACACATACTCTAACCACGTGATTGAACACTGTTTATATAACCGTGACCTCTGACCTCAGAGTCACGTGACTTAGTGCAGTTATATAGTCTCAAACGTGTTGTCTTAACAACAGACACCCGGAGTCGTTACCTATACTCATTGCAGTGACCCATGAAACAGGCTAGCCCATATGAGGCCCTCCTTGCCAGGGACACAGATAAGACTACGTAGTTTAACCTCTGCCCAGATCTGCCCAGCAAGCCCACCACCTACCCGTCTGGGTCCCAGATAAGTGTGCTTGCTGGGATTTTGGCACGGAGTTCAGATGTAACTCTCAAAGGTTTATTGTAATTTCTAACCAGCTGATGCTGTTTGTTTTTATTATTTTATATTTTTGTAACAGGCTAGTAACAAAATTTGGAATTTGTGATCCAATATGCTTTTTTAATTTTTTTTTTTTTATTATTATTTTATGCGCACTTTTGTATACAAAATATGTGAAAATGACAATTGAGTATTTTATCTAAAGAAAAACACAGGCGCATTCTACTTTGGACTACATATTAGATTAGATTAATCAAAATAATTCATTTTTTGGTATGACATAGTCGACAAAAGAAGCAATTTTTATGTTTAAAATGCTTCATCTACCGGCATTAAGCATGCACACCCAACTTGAAATCAAGATGAAGGTGAGCGAATCAGCATATTCGTTATGTCTTCAGTAGCTATTCTACCTCTTTAAAAGATAAAAACATTTAAAGTCTGAAAAGCCCCTCCGGTTTCCATACTTTATGAGATTAAGCGAGATGTAGGCCTACCTAACAGTAATACAGGTCAAAGCTGTGACCGTGAGTGCACGTACATGTTTACTTTATGGGAATTATTTGTACCATGAAATACAAATGCTTTATATTTGAAAGAGCAATTAATGGATGAAAGCTGGTTTAAAGACAAGTAAACTTTAAATTCCAATTTGAAACATACCACACACAGTAAAAGCACTGTTAAATCTGAGGGATACCACGTGACCTCTCTCGGGCTCTGTTGGGGGATTCCCCTTGGAAATACCATTCGTCACCTCGGACAAGATCAAACCTGCGACAGGAAGGTGAGTGAAGGCTGGGGATATTTCATCCATTTTACTTGGATAATCTCCCGTGTGTACATTTTATCGTGTCAACTAACTTCCTAGCGTTGGTAAGCTATGGAATTCACGTTAATTTACCTCAACTAACAGGTTAAAAACTCGATAGATACCCTTCGTTATTTTCGACCTTGGCGATCAATACTGTGACCTAGTTTACTGGAGGCCATGCTACACTTAAGTTATACTATTTTTATAAAGACAAATACCGGTAAAAAAATCAATTGGTATTGTAAAACATGATGGTGGTCTTAAATATGTTTTGAGTGACGCCAATTTGTACGTTTTTTTTAATAAAGCTGGTATAAAAGTTCGCGATTCTCGCCTTAAGGAAGCGAAACAACTGGAATTCCCACCGTCAGTAGGAAAAATGATCCCTCAGATAGGATATAGGGAAAGACTCTAGGTGATTGATTTCAATGCTGTGGTGAAATCCTTCGTCTCCAGATGATGCACATGTACTTGTACTGTTTTATTTTTCTTATTTTAAGATCGATGGCAAAGTTACCTTTAGTTTCTCTTTAGAAATATTATGTCCAAAACAAGTAAACACAATGGGGACTTCCCCGTCGTCACCGTGGCCCGGCTGTGATAGGTGTGACTCGGTAGCAGCTTTGTGTTATGATACATGTAAATATGAACAGATCAACGTACATATCAACAACATTTTACTCCGGAATATAGCTCTGACGTACATATCACACCTGTTTACTGACTTCAAGCATTAGGTAAGATACAGAAATTCGCTCTTATTTTACTTCAACTGACAGGTTTACAACAGTAACTTTCGCAATTATCGAATATGTTGTTTAAGCCTGTGACCCAATTTGCTCGAGGTCGTGGCACTCCGTGGTACTGAACTATTATCAAAAAGATAAACATTGGTAGATAGAACGTGGCCTTAAAATATGCATGTACTGTAGTCATACGAAAGGTCGTAAAAGACTTCAGTTTGTGCGTTTCGTACACAAATGCTGCACTTTGGCAGAAATGCACGCGCATTAGGGATACGAAACATCTGGAATTCCCAGCGTCATTAGAAAAAATATATGATATCTTCGATAAGATATAAGGAAGTATTATAGTGATTTATTTAAATAATGTGGTCAAGTTCCAGATGATGATACAAATTTTATATTTTATTCTGTTTGTTTTATACAACTAGCACGTACCAGTGTTTAGTTTCTCTTTGGAAACATTGTATCTATTTATACGTGTTGCCAAGTAACACAAGCAGGACTTTCCCTTCGTCCCCGCTGTCTAGTAGTACCTGTCCCAGTAGCAAGGTTAGCTAATTTTGAATAAACTGGCTGTGCCTGTAAACTCTAATGTACATGTAGGAGTGTATGCGTGCAGTTGTAGATACATGTAGAGTGTGGATGTGAAGGTTTATTTTACACTAAATATTATGATGTGCCAACCGTTATTTTGAACAGATTTTATAATGGACGCCTTCTTACATCCCAGCATTCTATATGCTGAGAATGACATTTGTGTGAAGCCTTATAGAGTCACTCTTATTTCAATTTATCATATAATTTCAATCAAACAATTTTGACATATGACATTGACCTTTTGTTTATTTTATTTTTTCCATATTTATTTATGTATTCATTCATTTATATTTGGCCGGGGTGAAAGGTGAAGAAATATCCTCTCTATGGCAATTAACATGTAGTGGTATAAAAAAAAAATGCTTTACCTGTCTACATGTACCAGTGTTTGTATTCAACGTGTGAATATAGAATATGGATAATGACTATTCCAGGTGGACTGCGTAAAGCTCGAGTTAAAACTCACTGTGATTCAGCCAACATCTTTATCTGCCAAATATACAATCTCACAAAAATGAACCCTCTCCACGAAGCTGCAAGGAGTGGTGATATCAACAGAGTGCGGCCACTGTTAGGGACTGGAACATGGGACGTAAACAAGATGGTTATTTTGGGTTTTGACGAACATCCACATAATTTTTTTGAAGTAAGTTTGCCTGTCTTGAGATCTATAATGAAAAGTAGTTGCTCTCTTACTACTTGGTAGCGTTATGGAATATAATTAGTCATTAAAATTAATATAATAAAATAAGGTATGTTTATTACGTGCCATTACAGAATGTATTTATAAATACCGAGTATAGTCTCAGCAAAGGACAGAAGGTCGATTATATTGAGCGTAAATGACATTTCACATAATAGTAGAATTTGATGTATATAACAGGTATTGCATTGAATAGAAGCTATTTTATATAAGCTGAAGAACGATAAGCTGCATCTCCGATGTATCATAAACACCCCATTTTCAAACGCCGCCATTAAATAGACCGCCTCTACACTGCGGTAATCATGGTGTTGAACGTCTGACATAAATCCACGGGAACACTATTTTTTAATCAATTAGTAAATTAGATAACTTATTCATTATTAGATAATTTATTCATTAATTGTTAATGTCTTTGATACATTATGCTACTGCCATGATGGGATATGAAAACAGTATATCTTTGGAGTAGTCATGCTCATTTTCATAACGCTGCCTATGGTGTAGACGCAACGTCGCATTTTTATGTTACTTTATCTTAAGGCACAAACAACGGGCACACTTCTTAATGATTTATATATTTATTTATTCATTTATGTCACTGATATATCATAATTATGGCCACATGACATAATCGTTGACCTAAAAAATTCTGCATCTTCAGGATGGACGTACACCTCTTTATTTTGCTGCTGAGGGTGGTCACAACGATGTAGCAGCTCTACTCATTCAGCACGGAGCTGATCCCTGCAGAACAGACTGTGTAGGTATATGTATTTTATTTGAAATATTTGTTATATATTGTAATGCATGATACATAGTTCTGCCAATTGCATGTATCAAAACACAAAATGTCCTCTTAATATATAACCAAAACGCAACACTCACTAACGCTGTCTATATATATGCTGCTGTTACCTGTATAAACATGGCAGTGTAGATCATGTAGACAGTTGCACAAATAAGACGGAGATTACACCACAAACTTTTCAACATTTAATTGAAACGCATTTTATTTTAATATCAATTATACATTATGACTTTGTCTTTATGGTATATAGTTTTAATGAAAACATTTGTATATGTTCAGGATTTTTGGACACCTCTTCATTACGCTGCTAGGGATGGTCACAGCGATGTAGCAGCACTACTCATTCAGCACGGAGCTGATCCTTGCAGTACAGACGATGTAGGTATATGTATTTTATTTGAAATATTTGTTATATATTGTAATGCATGATACATAGTTCTGCCAATTGCGTGTATCAAAACACAAAATGTCCTCTTAATATATAACCAAAACGCAACACTCACTAACGCTGTCTATATATATGCTGCTGTTACCTGTATAAACATGGCAGTGTAGATCATGTAGACAGTTGCACAAATAAGACGGAGATTACACCACAAACTTTTCAACATTTAATTGAAACGCATTTTATTTTAATATCAGTTATACATCATGACTTTGTCTTGATGGTATATCGTTAAATGAAAACATTGTATATCTTCAGAATGGTAGTACACCTCTTCATTACGCTGCTGAGGGTGGTCACAGCGATGTAGCAGCTCTACTCATTCAGCACGGAGCTGATCCCTGCAGTACAGACAAGGTAGGTATATATATTTTATTTGAAATATTTGTTATATATTGTAATGCATGATGCATAGTTCTGCCAATTACATGCATCAAACACAATGTCCTCCTAATATAAAACCAATACGCAACACTCACTAACGCTGTCTATAGGCCCTATATATGCTGCTGTTATAAACATGGTAGTGTAGATCATGTAGACTGTTTCACAAATAAGACAGAGATTACACCACAAACTTTTCAACATTTAGTTAAAATGCAATTTATTTTAATATCAGGTATACATAATGACTGTGGTATATCGTTAAAATGAAAACATAGTATATGTCTTTAGTTGGGAGGTACACCTCTTCATGACGCTGCTGAGGATGGTCACAGCGATGTAGCAGCTCTACTCATTCAGCACGGAGCTGATCTCTGCAGTACAGACTGGGTAGGTATATGTATTTTATTTGAAATATTTGTTATATATTGTTATGCATGATACATAGTTCTGTCAAATACATGTATCAAACACAATGTCCTCTTAATATATAACCAAAACTCCACAATCACTATCAAGCTGTCAATATGCTGCTGTTATAAACATGGGCAGTGTAGATCATGTAAACAGTTTCACAACTAGAAGAGAGATTACACCACAGACTTTTCAACATTTAATTAAAGTGTATTTTAATTTCATATTAATTATACATCATGACTTTGTGGTATATCGTGAAAATGAAAACATTGTATATGTCTTTAGTGGAGACGTACACCTCTTCATTACGCTGCTGATGGTGGTCACAGCGATGTAGTAGCTCTACTCATTCAGCACGGAGCTGATCCCTGCAGTACAGACAGGGTAGGTACATGTATATGTAAATCTCTTGAAATACATCTTCGATATTCCAATACATAAACCATTTTTACTTTTTCTCTTTGCTGCCAGTACTGTTACAGTTAGTGTTGTAGACGCAATGCCGCAACTGTAACAGGGTAAAGAAAATATGGCATTTTTTTTTTTTTTTGGGGGGGGGGGGCGGGGCTTGCCTTATAATTTTACTCATGTTTTTACTAATTTTCTTATATTCCTGATATATCATAATTGTAATAATGTAATGTAGCAGTTGTACTCATTCAGCATATTAGCTTATCCCCGCAACAAGACCAGGGTAGGTTAATGTACAATGAATATGCACTTGTATGCCATTTTAGCTATACTGACGAGTTTGCAAAGCTTTATCATTATTAATTTTGTTAAATTTTAATGATTTTTACATATGCAGATAGCATCTGCATAACATATTAAATAAAGAAACCGACTATTATAATTCAAGGGAGTTGAACACCTCTTTGTTGTGCTGCTGCAGCTAGAGATCGTCACAGTTGCAGATCCCATGGCATGAACAATGAAAGCACTTTTAAATGATTTTATTATTTATTTATTAGCACAAAAAACATGTAAACAGAAAGGCTAACGCTGACATGTAAGCTTACTATACTGTACTATGACATATGTAAACATAATGTGCTGTCTTGCTCTATGTTAAATGCCATTACAACATTAATTTGTTTTTTGTAGCGTGGTGTACGTCCCAGCGATCGCCAAATATGGACAAAACATGGATTAGCAACAGTTTTAAAGAAATTCGAGAATGGTCAAGTCCAGGTGAGAAATGTCACGTTATAAAAACATTAATATCAAGTCTTTTATGGAACGGAGGATGGTCGATTTCTAAAACGTGTACTATATTTCAGTTTTGAAATTTCAGCCAGGGGTGTCCGACAGAGCCTCCCCGACTCCCCCCCCACCCCCCCCCCCTCAGAAAAAATCCACTACTATAAGATGTCAAGTATTTATTTCTCCACAGGTAGTTGGCACGTGTTCGAGGAAAGATAAAGCAAAATGTACGGTTTTGTAACACGGAGTACTACAAATCTTTTTAAAAAAATTAACTCGTTCCACATTTTCAAAGTCTAGGATATGTTTGTCCGAAATCTCCCTCCTATATCTGCCACCATTAGACACCAGGTATTTCGTTCGTAGTGAATACTTGACACGTGTGCGAAGACAGCTAAAGCAAATTATACAGTTTTAAAATGACACGAAATACTATGCATGTTATCAAGGTGCATTTTTCCTGATTCTTCGTTTGCTGACATTCTGAATGTGGGACTTTATTGACGACACTTTAAATCTTGCAAATGTAATTCATTTATTGCTTCTGACTGAAATAAGATATATTTTGTATATGTATTTTGTTTTAAAAATTGTTTCAAACATTCTAAAATCTTAAAAATATTATTTAATTTCGAATGGCAGCTGAGAAAAGCACTACGGCAGTGTTCTATCTTCCAGAACTTCATCTTCATCTTGTGTTTGGAACATGTTGCTGCTACAATGACTCTTGTTGAGGCTTACATTATTTTCAATGAAGACATGAGTAACGATCCTACCAGTGAACTCCAGAACAAGAAGTTAGATAGATTAAACGCGTGGGCCAACACGAATGGGGTTAAAACTATCCAAGAGTTAAAAGTCAGATTGTCGAATGTTGGACGTCATAATTTAGCCGGTGAGCGATACATGTATATGTATATCATATTCACTTGGCTTTTTATCCACTTTTTATCCACTTGTATTTTTACATGTGTACCACAATTTTGCTTAACCTGAACACGGTTTTGATTTCTAAATCGTTGTAAGTTTCTTTTATAAATACAAAATGAATTATTATTACATATACTTAAAATGACATGTGCTGTATTTACATGTAATCCACTATCAAATGATATACCTGTACATTTATATAGTGGCTGCTGCAAATCACTACGCCAAGATCGTCCAAGCGATTATGGATATGTCAGCCGAATACTACGAAACATTTTGTCAAGATCCCATGTCAAACAGACACATGATTACATCTACAGTTTGTCCCACGGAGCAGAGATGTGAAATAAGGTATATATAGGTGTGTGTGTGTGTGTGTGTGTGTGTGTGTGTGTCGGAGGCCTAAATCTAACTCAGGGAGATTATAATCCGCCTATAGGCTCAGTGCCATCTGGGAATTTAATTATCAAAAATTGATATTGCGTTAGGCGACCACATTTTTGGTAACTTGTAATTACGATATGAGTTCAATACTTCTTACTATCTGAGAATGAAGAAAGATTGTATATATTGCTGGTTGGTACAGTTTCCATTTAGTTTTCAAATGAATTTCCCACCTACACCTTACAATAATTGCCCCAAACTACCAGCTCAATGTGTACAACGTACCCTGAAGTTCCATACTTTTTGATACGATTTTCATTTCAAATCAATATTTCTATTTTTAAATTTTAATGAAATAGGATTTTACATGCATATCATCTCATCAAATTTGACAATATTATGGGCCCTCAGCGAAATAATTTAATGCTAATAATCATCTATGCAAAGTGTGCATATATTCTATCCATAAGTGCAAGTTTAAACTTTTCTTATTGTTATCTATTCCTTTGGTTCATCCCAGTATGGAGACAGATTTGTACCAATACGACGCATATTTAGCACACCACAGTGACGACGAGGAGGTAGTGGACAAGGTGAGGGGGGAGTTAAAGTCCAGTGGAGTCCGCTGTTCTGAAACAGCTCTTGCTGGAACATCCAAAGTAAACTCTGATAATGATCCAGTTAAGACAGCCAAGCGCACGGTGCCATTTTTTTCCAAAAATTCTCTGGAAAGTAAATTGTTTAAGATGACGTGTGACGTGGCACTTATTGAGGCCGACGAAAGGAAAGAAGACGTGATGATTCCTGTCACCATTGACGTCGATCCAAAGTCTTTACCGCCTCCATATGGAACTCTCAATTGTATCCCTTACCAGAGCCAAGATTTCATCCCGAAATTGGTCAACGCTATTAAAGGTATTTTATACACAACGTAAAATCACCTTGTGAAATTTTGACATTTTAGAACTTAAAACTGCTTATAAAGTGTAATTAGAAATACTATCAATAAATAACTGTTTATTAGCACATTATTATGTTATATATTTGGGACCATTTCTGAAACGCATTCACGAATAATACATGTATGTGTTATCTTATTAGCCTATATATATGTATACATGCCGTTCATCTTTCAGGACCAACAGATGCGCCTCTCTACGGTGAACTTCGTGATGAAAACGAAAACCTGAAACGGGAGATTGCAGCATTGCGACAGCAACTTGAAGATTGTACAGCACTGATCAGACGTCTGCAGGCAGAGTAGGAAGCTGCAGCTGCTCCTAGACAATTTGTCTGTGAACCCCGAGGAATGTGAACTATGACTACTATAAATATTTGATTTTTTGCTATTGATGTACAATTATTTTCGAAATCTCTCTCCAAAGTCTTCTCTTTCTGTTAAGTATAACACACGATTTATTACAAAAAGTTGGTCAAATTACAGAACCTGAATTGAAAGAGAAGCCCATTGTTTTTCGATACGCACTTTAAAATAGCCAGCATATCTTTTGAATGGAATAGTTAGTAAGGATCATTTCTTTCACGACAGCATGCATGTCGTTATGTTAGGGCATGTTTCATAGGTATTGACCTGCAGTGTAAATGATTCGTTAGAAGTAAGTACAGGGGTAACAAGCCACATTTACTATAATAATCCATGTACCACAGCCAACCAATAAGATATGGTGCATAAAGATACAAGCAGTATAATGTTAACTCTCAGTGGGGGTACCGTGATGAGAACGTGCGCCAATTACCAGTTGACGTTTTAGGAGAAGAAAGATCCCCTTGAAATGTACATAGTGGACTTACTTTATCATATGACCATATCATAATGGACTTATTTTACCATAAAGCATTATCTATCCTGTTTGTTGTTTATATTAATTACAGCATATTCACCGCACCCAATGCACCACCAGCATTCGGATACCAGCAGTAAAAAGGCGACTGTCAGAGCGGATACCGTGAGGACGTGATAGCTAGTTAGCATTGTAGGTGAAACATACCCTCTTATCACAGAAGCATGGTCTCTTTATTGTTGTTTTGACTACAGCATATTCCTTCAAAATTAAGGACCACTATCACCCAAGTCAGTTGGAATATATTTTGAATTAACTGTCAAAAATAATGAATGAAGATGTTAACATATGAACTTGTTATATCGCCGTATTATATGCCATATACTGTACACCCTAAATTAGTATTAGTAATGAATCATTATTATATTGCAATTTACTAATCCATAAGTTTAACATTTAAAACTGTGAGTGACAAGTGTAATCAGTAACAAGTTTGCCTTTTTTTGGCTGATATTACACATTACATATTGATTATTGTGTTGCATTTACTCTAGCATTCCATATTACACGAGAGCCAGATTGTAAAGTGAAATAATATTCCATATTTTTCTTGTGCGGTATGGAAAATAGTAGTTTATAGTGTGACCGACCATGTGAATTAAGATCTCCTGATCATATAATTAAATTTATGGGGAAAGTTATTGGTGTGAATATTTTTACGTTTTTACGTTTCAGAACCAGCAATCAAAGAACGATTTGCGTTGTGTTTTTAAGATGCACTTTTGAGGTGTGCTCGACATGTGATATATTTGCAAAGTAAGCTTAAACATGTAAAGAACATTGTGTTATCACTGTGGAGTCAGAATATATTTATATATTTATACCGTTGTCTCACCAGTTTGTATTTACGTTTACGAATGTAACTGTTGAATGTAACGAAAAACTAAATTGGTACTCGATGAAGAATTTGAAAATTTCCTAAAGTTAAGTGTTCATTCGTTTATGGTAAAGCAACGATGTCTAATGGATAGTGCTACATATATCCATATATTGTAGGCTCTCAACAGTCCTGTCTTAATCACCCAAGGTTTCATCCCAGCCTACGGGTCGCCATTTTGTGATCAGTATCTCTGATAAACTGTCCCAGCAGGCAAACGACATTGATTCTATGTTGATTCAACGTTGATCCACCAAAATTAACGTTGATTCAACGGTGAATCAATGTCGTTTGTCTGCTGGGTGTGAGGTGTTACGTCCAATATTTCTGTTTTAATACGTATAGCATATAGCATATGTCCCTTGGTGTGTTATGTATTTAACTATTCAAGATGATACACAAATATTTGCCTTCAGGTATCCATTGAAATGTTTTGTTATTATTGAGCACTTATTCTCACTATGTAAGTTCCTTTAGCATTTTTTTTTATTTTATCTTGTTTGTTGTTTTATATCACCTCCAGAATATCCATTTAAATTCGTATTGGATGATGAATGAAGATATTTCAATTAGTATGTTATTTCTCATAAGCTTATGCTGATTATACTTCTGTTTTTTAGAATTGTGTGACATTATTCTGACTGGTGTGTGTTGTGTTTGTAGTGTTGCATTCACTCCAGCATTCCATATTACAGGACCAGAATGTGGAGTGAAATAACATTCCATTTTTTTTTTTCTCATGAAAATGGAACCGTTTTCAGTGTGACCGACCATGTGAATTAGGATCTCCTGGTCATATAATGAAATATATGCTGAAAGTTATTTGTGGGAATATAGTTGTAATTAAGTTTCAGGGCCAGATGTTAAGAACATTCTGAGTTGTGCTTTTTAGATGTGTTTCTTTTAGGTGTGCTCGACATACTATATATTTGTGAAGTAAACTTAAACATGTACAAAATACCCTGACGTCACTGTGGAGTCAGAATATATATATTTGTGTGTGTGTGTTGTACTGGTCTTATCAGTTGGTATTTACACTTACAAATGTAACTGTTGATATGGAGCNTGACCGTTTGCAGTAACTGATTGTTGAGTTGCTGTAACTGATTGTTGAGTTGCGATAACTGATTGTTGAGTTGCGGTGACTGATTGTTGAGTTGCGGTAATTGACTTTTGAATCGTTTATTGATTGTTAGATTTTGACGAATGATTAAAATGACCAAAACTAATTTAGTAGAATTAAGTTTAGATAGTTAAAGTAGGTTTTGGTTGTTAAATAGTGCCGATAGATTGTTGAATTGACTTCTGCATTTTTTGCGTGAATGGCGTTCCATATGTTGAATGTGACGAGAAACGAAATTGTGACTGGATGAAATATTTAAAATGTATCAAAAATAAATATACATTCATTTATGGTAAAAACAAAGTTGTACAATGAATTGTGTTAGTCATTAGGATAGCGCTATAATATCCAGTATTTATGGCCCTGGCCTTGGGGATTGTAGGACTTCAACAGACCCATTTTAGCACTTCAATTACCCAAGGTTTCATCGGGTCGCAATTTTGTTATCAAGAGCTATAACATATTTTGAGGTGTTACGTCCGATATTTCTATTTACGTATACCATGCTATTCCCTAGTGTGTTGTACAGTACATCTAGCTATTCAAGATGAGACAAAGATTTTTCTTCAGTTGTCCATATATATGTGTTGTTATTTTAGCGGCGCTCTTACCGTGATGTTTTGTGTCTTTATATGACCGAAACAGTTTTTTTCTTTTTTTTTGTTATTTCCAACAGATATGATTTTCATAATAATTCAAATATAATTTACGTTGGCATTATAATACAGTGTCACAGATTCATTTAACAAACGTATTAATTATCCGTTTTCAGATTTGGTTTTATGAACATGCAAACCATATAAAATGTATTCTGCTATACTACACATGTCATATATCTACCGGTGTATTAAGTGTACATGTGATACAACATACAAACTTCATATAGTAGAATGAATGGAAACAATGACTGTCACAATTTGTGACAATATTTCGTTGAAACTGTTGTTACCGTTGACACCTCGATGCATTTCTTTCTTTTGCCTTTTTTTTTTTTTTTTTTTGCTTGTAGAAATCTAAAAAATAATTAAAAGTGACATAAATATTCGATAAATAATAAAATTACTGAAAATAGAAAACATGAACAGTTAGATGCCATTAGATACTCACATTTTATGCTATCTGCAATACTAAATTGAAGTGTCCGGTACGCCTTTTACTTGTCTACTGCCCCCTCTCCCTTTAGATTGCCACACTATACATACTCTAACCACGTGATTGAACACTGTTTATATAACCGTGACCTCTGACCTCAGAGTCATGTGACTTAGTGCAGTTATATAGTCTCAAACGTGTTGTCTTAACAACAGACACCAGGAGTCGCTACCTATACACATTGCGATGACCCATGAAATAGGCTAGCCAATATGAGGCCCTCCATGCCAGGGACACAGATAAGACTATACGTAGTTTAACCTCTGCCCAGATCTGCCCAGCAAGCCCACCACCTACCCGTCTGGGCCCCAGATAATTGTGCTTGCTGGGATTTTGGCACGGAGTTCAGATGTAACTCTCATGGGTTTAATGTAATTTCTAACCAGCTGATGATATTTGTTTTTATTTTATATATATTTTTGTAACAGGCTAGTAACAAAATTTGGAATTTGTGATCCAATATGCTTTTTTAATTTTTTATTATTATTATTTTATGCGCACTTTTGTATACAAAATATGTGAAAATGACAATTGAGTATTTTATCTAAAGAAAAACACAGGAGCATTCTACTTTGGACTACATATTAGATTAGATTAATCAAAATAATTCATTTTTTGGTATGACATAGTCGACAAAAGAAGCAATTTTTATGTTTAAAATGCTTCATCTACCGGCATTAAGCATGCACACCCAACTTGAAATCAAGATGAAGGTGAGCGAATCAGCACATTTGTTATGTCTTCAGTAGCTGTTCTACCTCTTAAAAAATAAAACATTAAAAGTCTGAAAAGCCCCTCCGGTTTCCATATACTTTATGAGATTGAGAGAGATGTACCTAACAGTAGTAGAGGTCAAAGCTGTGACCGTGAGTGCACGTACATGTTTACTTTATGGGAATTATTTGTACCATGTAATACAAATGCTTTTTATTTGAAAGAACAATTAATGGATGAAAGCTGGTTTATATAAAAAAGAAAGTCACATTTTAAAGATAAGTAAAATTTAAATTCCAATTTGAAACATACCACACACAGTAAAAGCACTGTTAAATCTGAGGTATAGCACGTGACCCCTCTCGGGCTCTGTTGGGGGATTCCCCCTGGAAATACCATTCGTCACCTTGGACAAGAAAACAATCTGCGACAGGAAGGTGAGTGAAGCCTGGGGATATTTCATCCATTTTACCTGGATTATTTCCCAGATGTACATTTTTACGTGTTAACTAACTTCCTAGCGTTGGTAAGATATGGAACCCACTGTAGTTTACCTCAACTGTATAATAATAATAAGCTGTTGTACAAAAATTTACGCTGCTCGCATATTAGGATGCGAAACATCTGGAATTCCCACCGTCAGTAGGAAAAATGATCGCTCATATAGGATATAGGGAAAGACTTAGGTGATTGATTTCAGTACTGTAACGTTATAAAATCCTTCGTCTCCAGATGATGCGCATGTACTTGTTCTATTTTTCTAATTTTAAGATCGATGGCACAGTTACCATTAGTGTCTCTTTAGAAATATTATGTCCAAAACAAGTAAACACAATGGGGACTTCCCCGTCGTCAGCGTGGCCCAGCTGTGATAGGTGTGTCTCGGTAGCAGCTTTGTGTTATGATACATGTAAATATGAACAGATCAACGTACATATCAACAACATTTTACTCCGGAATATCGCTCTGACGTACATATCACACGTGTTTACTGACTTCAAGCATTATGTAAGACATGGAATTCGCTGTTATTTTACTTCAACCAGCAGGTTAACAATAGCAGATAACTTTGGCCATTATTGAATGTGTTGATCAAGCCTATGACCCAGTTTAATCGAGATCGTGGTACTGAACTATTATCAGAAAGATAAATAANGTGTGTGTAGGTGTCCCTGTGGGAAGGTTCAATAAACTAGCTGTGCCTGTTAACTATAATGTAGGACTGCATGAGTACAGTTGTAGGTAGATTGTGAATGTGAAGGTATGTGCCAACCGTTATTTTGAACAGGCTTTACAATGGAGGCCTTTTTACATCCCAGCATACAGAAATTCGCTGTTATTTTACTTCAACTGACAGGTTTACAACAGTAGGTAACTTTCGCAATTATCGAATACTGAGTATGTTGTTTAAGCCTGTGACCCAATTTGCTCGAGGTCGTGGCACTCCGTGGTACTGAACTATTATCAAAAAGATAAATATTGTAGACAGAATGTAGCCTTGAAATATGTATGTACTGTAGTTATACAATAGGTTGTAAAAGTCCTCTGGTTGTGCGTTTCGTACACAAATACTGTACTTTTGCCTGATAACTGTGCGCATTAGGGATACGAAACATCTGGAATTCCCAGCGTCATTAGAAAAATATATGATATATTCGATAAGATATTAGGAAATACTATAGTGATTTATTTCAATACTGCGGTCAAGTTCTTCGTCTCCACAGATGAAACATTTTTATATATTATACCGCTAGCGTACAATTTGTACTTAGTTTCTATTTGGAAACATTGTATCTATTTATACGTGTTTCCAAGTAAACACTAGCGAGACTTTCCCTTCATCACCGCTGCCTAGTAGTACTACAGGTAGGTGTCCCTGTGGGAAGGTTCAATAAACTAGCTGTGCCTGTTAACTATAATGTAGGACTGCATGAGTACAGTTGT